ATGCCTAAGTCTACAATACCACAAACTCAAGGTAACACTAGCATCTGTGACTACAACTGTCTCCGCAACTAGAAGTCATGTAAAGAGTTCCAGTTTTATTTCCATGAGCAACCACCATGGCTCCTTTAATAACTTTCCATACACCACCAAGAAATGACACATTATGCCCTCATCAAGTTGCGCAACTGATATAAGATTACGCATCAATTTTGGTACATGCCTTACTTTCTGGATTTTCCACACATATATGTTTGTCATCTTCAATCTAACACCCCCCATACCTACAATACCCAAAGGTTCTCCATCTGCTAGGTATACCTTTCCATGATTTCTAGCCACATAATTTTCTAGAATTTCATAGTGTGTAGTGGTATAGAATGAAGCTCTTGAATCTAAAACCCAAGAGTCAACAGAATTATCAACAGATAAAAGTAAAGTGTCTTGTATCTCCTCAGTTACGGCATTGGTGGCGCCGTCATTGTTGTTCTCCTTTTTCTTTGGTGCTTTGTAATTCCTCTATATGTGGCTTTTATTGCCACAATTCCAACACTCTATTTTTTTCCCAAACCTGGACTTGCTTCTTCTATTCCTTGATTTTGATCTTCCTTTGCCTCAGTTTGAATTTCTATCGTAGCCCCTACCTCTTGTTTCAACATTCAAAGCATTCGATGTTATCTCACCCAAAATCTTTCTTGTGAACCTCCTCAGCGAGAATTTTATCGCCTCTGACATCTGTGAGTTTTAATTTCGCACTATCTGTTGAATTACTAATTGCTGCTCTCGTAAGTTTCCAACTATTTGGTAGGGTGGCCATAAGAATTAAGACACGAACTTCTTCATCAAAATCAATTTTTACAGATGACAATTGATTAATGATTGTATTAAAATCATTCGTATGCCCTGTCACGGAAGCACCTTCTCTCATCTTAAGATTAAATAATTTTTTCATAAGATGTACCTTGTTATTCGCATAAGGCTTCTCATACTGTCATACATATCGGACAAGATCTTCATCAACCCTGTTGTGGTTGTCTCCTTTGCCACGTTCTTGGTCAATGTCAACCGAATGACTCCTAATACTTGTCTATCAAGGAGTGCCCAATCTTCATCTAACATCTTTTCGAGTTTTTCTCCTATGAGAGGTTGATGTAATTTTCTGCCATACATGATCTTCAATCTGCATCTTCCAAAATAAGTAATTTGTTCCATCAAACTTGTTAATCCTAGGTGCAAATCCTCCTTCTCCAACCGTCACTTTCTTCCTTAAACCTCGCTCTGATACCAGCTGTTGGGGGGATTTAATTAGATACTAGCAAATCCTAAATCGCTAAAAGCAAAAAATAGTGCGAACAAAGGACACAAAATAACCACACACACAAACACAAGATTTATAGTGGTTCACTCTCCGTATAAGAGCTATGTCCACTTTGCCGCTGCGGAATTTCACTATAAAGAAGAGGAAAAAAAATTACAAGAATCTCTCACAAGCCTCACAATTGGCTCACTCACTAAACCTTATTTGGTGGCTCTCACTCTCTAATTGGGGCTTTGCCTTCTATTCAATTTGTGATATCTAACTCTAGGACTTAACCCTTTTTTGTAGGTAATACATAGGACACAATTCCTGATAAGACTCAAATCTCAGATCCTAATAGGAATTATATTTTAATTCCTAATACAATTATAATCCTATTTCTAATTGTATTTCTAAAAAAAAAAAAAAAAACAAAAAAAAACCTTCTACTTAAACACAAATTAAGAAAACCCATGTCCTAATCCAACTCTAATTTTGATTGAATTTATCTCAACAATAATACCCCTTTAAATATCGTAAAATTGTAAAGTAGGTTGCGTTGGAGAGTCGGGATGGATTGAATTGTATTAAAATGGAAACAAATTTAATAGTAACCTATTATGTTAAAGTGGATTGCAATCTTGAAAGATTGAACAAAGATGATGGTGTTAGTTTTGCTTTCTACCAAAGGATTTTGGATTAGTCTCTTATTACTTGAACACTTTCAATAATTTCTCCTTCCTTGCAACATGACCTATTCTCTTAGAAATATCCAAACCCTAACAAAATAAGGAAATATGAACCGACCCACAATTTTATTAATATAAACACAATAATAGAGGGTGTATAATACATTTCGAAAATCGTAAGTACGTTTATATTTCATAATCTCTCAGACTTGGTAATAACAACCCTATCTTGTGTGTAAATATTATTAACATACATTAAACTAATTTGTTTTGTATAATAATATAAAAGATTTCCCTGCAAATCACTAGGCCGTCTTAGCTCAGGGGTAGAGCGCATGGCTTTTAACCATGTGGTCGTGGGTTCGATCCCCACAGACGGCGTTTTGCAAATTTCTCTCTTTTTTTTTTTTCCAGTTTGTTTTGATTTTTTTTATTTATTCGGATTTGAATTAGTTATTAGCTTTTCAACATTTTGTTCGATTCGTGGATTACATATATATATATTCCCTTTTTTCACTTTTTATTTTTTATTTTTTACTCTTTTGTGTTTTTTAATTAATTGTGGATTGTTTTTAATTTTTCCTATTTTTTATTTCCATTTATATTTTTTTTATTTTTCCCATTTGGTTTGACTTTTTTATTTCATTTTTTATTTTAATTAAGTGATTATACTTGGTATGGTAGGGGGGCGGATCCAGCCCACCCTCAATTTTTTTTTTTAAATATTAATATATATAATTTTTTGATTTTAGTCCACCCTAACAAAATTATTAATAGATAAAAATATTAATATGTAATTATTTTTTATTTTGACTCACCCTAAAAAAAATTTTTGGATCCACCACTAGTATGGTATATATTGGTATGCATGTTTAGGTTTCGTTTAAGTTTGGTCAAAAAGAAACGTGCAAAAAGATTATTATATATTTACATAGTTACTTGTGCAGTTCTTATTTATTTCATATTTTTTCAAGATGTACACAATAATACAATAATGATGACTGGTTTTATATAAAAAAAAGAGTAATACTACACATATATCATTTTTATACAACATTTCCCATACAATATTTTCCATACAACATTATGTGGCAAGATATGATTGGCTAATTTAAAGTTAAAATTAAACTTTCATTCAATCACATCTTGCCACATAATGTTGTATGAGAAATGTTGTATAGAAATGATGTATGTGTAGCATTATTCTAAAAAAAAAGGGTTCTTTTAACCTAAACTTGAAATTTCTATGTGAATTAGTAAAATAATAAAATTATATGTAAAAAAAAAAAAAAAATTATTGCCTACAATATATAGATATGTCATATGAAATTTCTAAAAATATCAAAAACATGTAAAATACATTTATATTCCAATATTCATATAAAAATTGATAATACAATCAATTTCATCATAGAATCTCCATGGAATATATGTGGAAGTAAATGACAAACCTCCAGCCATAGCAATTGTTTTTTAGTCTTCTTGCTTCTTCAAAATACAGAGTCTTCCACTGACTGCAATTTTAGAACGATGGTTTTAGGAATCTAAAATGAAAAATTACGTCTAATGGGGACGTATAAAGTCTCATTTATATGCAGTTGTCTTTCCATCAAAGACAACTGCCCAAGAGAAGAGACACAACCGTATGACCACATCAGTCCACATCAACCTGATTCTGCCCATTTTCTGGCGTTTTCGACGGGAAACTTGAATGTCGACGTATGACCTATATCGGTGACATCCCAAATGACAATTTCGTCCTAAATCGGTGCCATAAATGGCTTCCGAAAACACCCAAACGATAATTTCTAACCAAAACTTTAAACTAGCATAACTTTGCAACCAGAACTCCGTTTTTGACAAATAATATACCGTTGGAAAGTTTTTTCAACAAGGATTCCAATGACATCAAAATCGAAAACATACTCTATTTATAATAAAAGTTATGCTTGATTTACAGTATGAGTTTTAATTGAAAAAATCCTAAATTTTATGCAATATTTTCCAAATTTGCAACAACCAATTTCATGCTAGGCAGAGATTCAAACAATGCTCTAATACCACATGTAAAATACATTTCTATTCCAATATTCAAATAAAAGTTGATAATACAATCAATTTCATCATAGAATCTCCATGGAATATATGCGGAAGTAAATGACAAACCTCCAGCCATAGCAATTGTTATTTAGTTTTCTTGCTTCTTTAAAATATAGAGTCTTCCACTGATTGCAATTTTATAACGATGGTTTTGAGAATCTAAAATGAAAAATTGCGTCTAATGGGGACTTGTAAAGTCTCCTTTATATGCAGTTGTCTTTCCATCAAAGACAACTGCCCAAGAGAAGAGACACAACCGTATGACCACATTAGTCCATATCAGCATAAAAGTATAGGACCATAATATAATTATATTAAAAGTGTAGGACCATAATTTAAAAAGTCGAACAAAACAATCTATTACATAGAAAAATTCCACTAATCGAACGCTGCCATATTACAGGTGGTTAAAATTTAAAACCTTTAATGAGCTTCTAAAAAATAATTGTTATAGACTGAAATCAATCGAGAAGAAAAAGATAAAGGAGGCAAAAGTAGCAGGATGACAGCCAGACAATACCAAAAAGAGAGAAGAATCTGTATATTTTCTATATGTATTTTAATGAAATGTATAGTCGTATTTATACAAAACTGGTATGATAATAAAAGGCAATAATGTTAGGATTTCCCAATCACATAATATCCAAACATTAATGTACAATGAATGGAAAGAATCAATTATACATTAATACAAATATATCCAAATATACTTCATATCTCAACAGTAATATATAAATATGAAATTTTACTAATAATTTCTCCTAAAAAATTCAAACCAAGTGACAAAATAAAATAAAATTGAAAATCTCAAAATTCTAATTAAAATCTATTAAAAGTAAGGGTCACACTCTTGTCACGTGATAAGAGTATTAAATAAAGAATAATTTTCTCAGATGGAACAAAACATAACGACCTAAACGGGAAGTTGATAACTGACTCAAATTTTCAGTTTCTGTCTCCAAACTTGCTCTTTCGTTTTTCCCCCAGTTTCTCGCCAGCCAAACACCCTCAAATTCCCCATTTCAGATGGTTTTCATCCTTGGATATCTCGGCTCCCAGGTCAGCCCGAAACCGGTAACTTTCTAACCGTTAAAAACTTCTAACTTCCATTTCTCAAATTATAGGTTTTCAACATCCCAAAAACGACACCGTACCATAAACAAAAACAATTCCTAAAATCATAGGCTAAGCGTTTGAACTGAAAAATGTTCAACAAAATCATCAAGCGCGGTCACAAAAAGGGATCCAAATCGGTTCCAAATGGAAATGTGACCGTGAACCATTCGTCCATCGCCAATTTCGAGGCACCGTCAATGGCTCTATCACCGCCGCGGCCGTTGGTCCCGAAAGCTGTGATTGAGAGCTTGCCTTTATTTCGTGATGTATCTTCATCTGAAAGGTTGAATTTATTCATTCGTAAGACTCACCTTTGTTGTGTGTTGTGTGATTTTAATGATAACTCGAAATTGGGACTCGAAAAAGAGATAAAGCGAAAAACATTGTATGAGTTGGTTGATTTTATTCAATCTGGTTCGAGTAAAATCAATGAAGCCATGCTTGAAAGTTTAATTATGATGATATCTGTTAACATTTTTAGGTGTTTGCCACCTGGTTCACACGAAAACACAGGGTCTTTGATTGATATTGTGGACCCTGAGGATGATGATTCGTGGATGGATCCTGCCTGGCCACATTTGCAAATTGTGTATGAACTTTTGTTGAGGTACATTGTGTCATCCGAGAAGGATACGAAGTTAGCTAAAAAGTATATTGATCATACTTTTGTGTTGAAGTTGATTGATTTGTTTGATTCTGAGGATCCGCGAGAGAGGGAGTTTTTGAAAATGGTGCTTCATAGGATATATGGGAACTTCATGGCGTATAGACCCTTTATTAGGTGTGCAATAAATAATGTGTTTTATAGGTTTATATTTGAGACAGGGAGACATAGTGGAATTGCAGAGTTGTTGGAGATTTTAGGGAGTATTATTAATGGCTTTGTCTTGCCAATGAAACAAGAACATAAATTGTTTCTTGTACGGGCACTGATGCCATTACATAAGGCTAAATGTATTTCCATGTACCATCATCAATTGACTTATTGTGTTACACTGTTTGTTGAGAGGGATTATAAATTGGCTGATATTGTGATTAGGGGGTTGTTGAAGTATTGGCCAGTGATAAATTGTCAAAAGGAGGTTTTGTTTCTTGGAGAACTTGAAGAAGTTTTGGATTTAACAAGACCTGCAGAGTTCCAAAAGTGTATGGTTCCTCTATTCAGACAGATTGGACGCTGCCTTAATAGCTCCCATTTCCAGGTTCGTGATCATTGATAGCTTCATTCTTTTGTATGTATTAACATTATGAGTTAGACCTGTGACATTAATTTATCTGTTTATAGATACAGATTTTTTTTTTTTTTTTTCACATTACTCTGAATCTTTTTGGCTGAATTGCAGTTAATTCCCCATAAATGAACATGCTACAGTGTGGCAAAAAGCTCAGGACTGTTAATTATTTTTGAATGACAGAATGAGAGAGTTTTAGGGTCAATAGAATAATCTCAATAACAATTTGGATAATTGTTTAAGACTATGGTTTGACCAATTTGGATAATGATTGAAGGAACTAGAAAAGAATTACTTTTGTATATGTAAGTTTTATTCAAAGCATGATGAGATTAAATCTACTGGTTTACACACAAGCAGACACATAAATGTAGTATGCATTTGCTTGTTAGTATGTTTTTGTTGGTTGAATTTGTTAAACTGATATAACCAGTAAAATGCATGCACATTTAGAAGATTTTTTACCTTAAAGCTCACATCAAATTCAAAGAACTCTCTAGCTATATATGAGTTTTATTTACGAGTATGTTTCTGTTGTTTGAATTTGTTACATCGATAACAGGTAATATGCATGCATATTGCAGTAGAATTCTTGTTTGAGAATCACATTCTCTTAGAGAGAGTATTATCACCTATATCTCGTGTTATTTAGATGATAAATATAGAACTTGAATGTTTTGTTCTTTAGATGGTCAATATAGAACTTAAATGTTTTGTTCTTTGTTGTAATCCTTTGGGCCTTACCGGGCAGCTAGTCTTTGTTTTGCGGATAGTTTGTTCACTTTCTTGTATATCTTTTCATTGTTAACACCATTTTTTTTTTGTTTCTTAACTAAAAAAATGTATAATTCGCCATGTATTCAGTTAGGGAGGGAGGGAGGGAGAGGAAATCATTTATATCTGTTATGATTAAGTGATATTCTTTACTGGGTGTGTTGCCAGAAGTGCCTCATCTGATTAAAGTTTCCCTTCTTTTCTCTCTGTAGTTTGACTGCCTTTATGGTGTTGCTATGTGGTTGAATTTTGTATTCTAAAGTAGTCTCATAGATTAAGTTCTAGTATGAGCTATAATTAACTAACCATAATGAAAAGTTTGATTGGCTGTACAAAGTTGTAATTAGTTTTTCAATTGTTGAAACATTCAATATTTCCTCCTTAATTTCTCTTAATTGTTAGGGGGCATTTCTTCTATCGCTTATTTAATGCAGTTAATTTGTTTGAAATACAGTTCAGGGACAAGTTTTAGAAATTTATCACCATCTGTTGCAAAAAGTTATCTTCTATGGAAAGTGTTTTTTTACTGTAAAGAATCATTTCAGGTTGCTGAACGAGCTCTGTTCTTGTGGAATAATGAACACATGGTAGACTTGATTGCTGATAACCGAAATGTGATTTTCCCAATAATCTTCGAATCTTTGGAGAAGAACATGCAAACTCACTGGAACCAGGCAGTCCACGGGCTTACTGCCAATGTGCAAAGGATGTTCCTAGAGATGGATGCTGATTTATTCGAAGAATGCCAGAGGCAGCATGAAGAAAAGGAAGCCAGGGCTGACAAATTACAAGAACAACGAGAGTTGATGTGGAAGAAACTTGAAGACGTCGCAGCACAATCTGGGGGACCTGATATGGTTTTGGTTAATTGATCGGTAAGCTGCATTTCGTGCAGAACGATAATAATCCATTCATTTAGAGTAGAATCAGATTTCTTCAACTTCTAGGTTAGCTATTCTTTCATTCATTTCAATATAGAGGTTATATTATCAAATTTAGGAAGGCAAAGTGTAAGGGTGTGTCTTGCAAGTTATTTTCTTTGCTTGAAGTAGTTTTCTTATTTTATTTAATTTATATGAAGATTAATGACTTCATTTTATTTTGGGCATAATTATAAATAAAGTGCCCACTAATTTTTAAGGTGAAAGCATGGACTTCTTTCTGTGTCAAATACTTCTTTCACAATCTGAAATTAATTTTGGCATTGATATAAAGATTATATTTCCCCTTTTTTTTTCCTTTTTCTTTTTCCTTTTTTTTTTTCTGGGGTGAGCTCCCCCTATCAAATATTTTCTCTATAGTTAAACGGGGAAGAGAATTGTCTTGTAATTTTTTAGTCTTTATATTTATTTTATTTTGACTATGTTTGACTACCATTACATTCGTTTATTGAATTTCATTTCAGTCAGTGATGATAAATTCAATGTTACATCTTTTCAAAATTGGGCTTGCATTTATGTGGTCTTATGTGCAATTTTAAAAACTGTAAAACAATAAATTCAATGTTAC